AGCACGCTTCGCTTGTGTACACAAACATTTATGCATATTTCATGGAATTTTTCACCAGCAGCTTTTCCTGTAAAATACCAATTTTTTCACTTATTCACGGTCGCAGCAAACACACATGCAAATATGTGTATTTGGGCTCAGTTCTTCCGGCCGCATCGGTGTTAGCGCTCTCTGTGTATTTTACAAGGTGCACTGACGCCTGCACATATGCAATATTTCATGTTGAGGCTTTTCATTAGTAATACATATTTATGGTATGTTCGATGGCGTTTACTCGCTTGCAGGCAGCTAAAAATACACTCGTACTCACAACTTCATGCAACCACCACTCATGTACATTAGGGTGGCAAAAAATAAATAAAAAATATTAAGCTCCCACACCCCAAAGTTTTTTTTATGGTTGCGGTTTTGGGAGACTTATAAAAAATAGTTAATATTAAAAAATTTATAAATTAACAATTGGGAAGTCTCCTAAAGAGAGACAAAGTTTTCCGATCGAAAAATATTGATTTTAAAGAATTACAATATACAATTTCTACGAAAAATATTCTTCTGATATTATTTTTTTCCATTTAGAAAAATCCTAGGGGGTGAGCGTTTAACATTTTAAACTGTTTTTATCCACATGTATTTTTGGACCACCCTAATGTACATGCATGCAACTTTTTTAAACTTTCCCGCATTTACCTTCTTTTTTGTTTTACAGTGCCCTCAGCGCCACCAGACAACATCCAGATTGGCATGTATAACCTGACAGCGGGTTGGGTGCGTTGGTCACCGCCGCCGCCGCAGCATCATAACGGCAACTTGTTGGGCTATAAAATAGAGGTAAGTGCCCTGCATATATATATAAATTTCTACAAACAAATGTGCATACACCACGTGCCATAATTATAAGTGTAGCGTGCACCACATTTTATTCTTTAAAAACTGTATTAATTAAAATTTCAAACTAAAAAAAAAAACTTTCGAAAAAATTTCGGGCATTTTAGTATAATGTAACGAAAGTACCTAGAGCTTACCATTGATTTTTGTAAATTTTTTTTTTTTTTGAAGGTGTTGATCTTTTTCTTTCATATAAAAAATTCTCGAACATTCTTTATATGGAAGAAAGGGCGCAACGCCGTCAACAAAAACAAAAAACCTAAAAATCTATAGCAAGTTCAAACTACCCCAAATTTACACTTTATTTTGCTAAATTCGAATGTACTACAAAATTGCATACTCAAAATTTTTGAGAAAGTTTTATTGATTTTTCTTTGATATTGCACAAACTTTGAAACTTGTATTTGTTATAAATAGATGAATGCAGTGTTCGGCAGTTGATTACTTTGCGTTGAATTCGATTCCTTAAAAGCTCTGCACTTTTTGTCAAATTATTTTACTGATTGAAAAATTATTAGATTTATTTCTTTTGCAATTAAATAAATATCTCCTTGTAAATCTTCGTTATTTATTAAATAATTAATTATTATTATCATTTTCGTTTAAGAACAAACTATGCTTTAATAAAAAAAAACAACTAATCTTCAATAACAATAAAAAAAATAAAATTAAAAATTGGTGCGCTTATATTTATGACACGGCGTGTAAATGCACATATGTATGTAAATGCTTGCATATTCACCCAGTCTTTTTTGTTTTTTTTTCATACTAGTGTTAATATTTTATTTTGTTTTTATTTTTGTATTTAAGTTTTTTCGTAACCCGCACTGCCATTGTAAATGTAATTTTGTGGTCGGACGAGTGTATGAAGTTTATGAAAAATTAATTTGAAAACTTTTGCGCCATAATATACACACATACATGTATATATATCATACATTCGAACGTGTACTGAATTTTAACGCTATGATTAATTTGTATTGAAATTTCAATACACGCTAAAGTAGCACGGATATATTACATTTTTTAAATTAAAATTTTATGCTTTATAAATATTCAACACTCTGCGCATTTGGAGATTAGAAAATTTATATAAATAAAAAACGTGTGGAAACATGAAACTCTTTTGTCTCTTAACATTTACTGTTGCTATATTTCTGAAAAAATGTTTGGTATTTTGCTGAACTTAAATTTTCTTTTTAATTCGATCAAATTTCATTCAGTTAACAGCAAAACGTTGATAACTGTTTGAATTTGAGAGTTGTATTAATTTAATAAAAACTGAATGAAATTGCATTTTAATTCAATTACGTATCTATGAACGTGCGAGCATTTGTCTGATAAATTTTAAGGAGTTTAGGAATTTTCGTTCTGTAGGAGAAAATATTAGTTATTTGTATTAAAATATATTCCATTGCCGTAGCAGTTTTATTATTAGGAAATGTGAACAATAGCGAAAGCCTAAAATAAAGCGCAAGTTAAAACTAAAAGTAAATTTATACATAACTTCTCGTAATTATCATACCAAATAACCCGGCATATGAAATTTTTTACAGAAACCTGGAGGACTAAAATTTCGTTTTACTTGGAATAAACGAAGCGAATCTTCCTAATTTCGAAATTTCACAAATCAAATCTTCTGATTTCTTACGACATTTTTTCATGTTTGCTTTTGGCTTTGAATGGTGAATTTTTCACGTTTCTTCTCCTTAAGCAAAGGTTATTTGTTCTTCCAAATAATGGCTATGATATTAAAAGGGGCTCTGATAAACATATATATTTTTCGTACGTAAATATACCTATGCCTTCCGCCGTATGCATATTAATATACAGATGAATGTATGCATATCAATTTATGCTGCAATATATACTTAAATACAGAGCTTCAACTGATCTGCTAACGAGGAGGTCTTATGGCGTGTTCTTTTCTAGCGAAAAATATTGCCTTCTCAGTGCCCTCTATGCACAAATATAAAGGAGAGGGCAAAGAAAAGGAAACATTTTTTGTAGAAAATAAAACGCCATTAGTGTTTATTTATTAAATTACAAAAACATATTTATTTTTATTTTCAAAACAATAATAACTAAAAATTATTAGATAATTCAATTCAGAAAAGAAAAGAATATATCCTGAAAAAAAAATAAAATAATTACCCAAAAAATTAATTAAATCGAACTGAAAGATATGTTTCATTTTTAAATAATAAAATCTAAAAATTTAAATTAAAAAAAAATTATAAATAAGTTCTTGAAAAAATTAAATTCAAAAAATATTTTTATTTTTAAAATAATGTAATCTGAAAATTATAAGAATATCATCCTAAAAAGTTCTTCATAATCTAATGAAATTACATATTTACATTTTTCTTTTTTAAATAACAATCTAAAAACTAAAAGAAAATTAAATGAAAAAAATTAATAAAACACAATAGAATGTTTCTAAATATTTAATAAAATTTAAATAAAATATTTTTCTTTTCAATATAAAATCTAAAACGAAAATTAGATAATAAAATAAATTTCTAAGAATTAAATTTATTTGACAACATATATGTATTATTCTTCTTAAAATAATTAAATCTGAAAAGTAAAAGTAAATGCAATAAAATTAAAGACAAAAAATTTTTGAAAATAATTGAAGAAAAAACTCCGCTGCCTCGGTTGTCTCGATCCACTTTGTTGGACCAGTGCGAGCAAAATGATAGCTATACTTATTTATATGTATGTACTTCTGTCAATAGAGCTTTTCACCATAAAATCTAGCAAGGGAGTTAGGGCCGAATTCATAATAAAATTAAGGAATATTTTAAAATTTAAAGGATGCTTTATTTTTCTGATCGATCTCATAAAGCCACTTTAAATACCCGAAATGGAAATTTAAATGACATAAACGTCATTTTGTGGGAAAAAATGACAATCAGCTGATGCAATTTTGCCGAGGTCAGCATTGCCAACTTTGTTATTTCCTTTTAAATTAACCTTTCGTTATTATTCAATTGAAAACACTTCTTGTTTAAAGTACTTTTAAATGACACTTTAACTAAAAGGAAATTTTCGCAAAAAGAACTTTCAGTGTTTCATTATAAAATTGGCCCTAAGACTTTCGTGCCTGAATAAAGAAAATCTTTCAAACTGTCCAGCCGACTGTCTTTACACTACATATCTTTGCTAGAATTGTTCTGTTAGATCAGACCCATCTCAGATATACAATTGTGAAGTGAAGTGATTTTCACCAATGTTAGAGTATGTGAGAATGTATCCTATTGACAAAGCAGAAATCAAATTTTATTTTGTTAAAAAATTATGTATTTTTAAAATTAACTAGATCTTTTAACTTGTTGTTGGTTAGCTAAAATTATTAATTTTAATCCCTGCTTAAAATTAATAATTTTAGCTAACCAACAACAAGTTAAAAGATCTAGTTAATCACGATTTGAACATTTGTACATGTTTGCTGGTACAGAGTGGTGTTGTTCGCAAATTCTTTTATTAACTTGAACTCAAATTTCTAAAAAAAAAACACCACCCTGTGACTGCCAAAATGTACAAATCGGTACAAATGTAGAAATCGTATGATTTTCACTTTACTCAATATTTTTAAATTTTTAATAAATTTTTATTTCCTTCTTCTCCAGGTAACCGCTGGTAATACGTTCAAGGTGTTAGCCAATATGACGCTGAACGCTACAACTACTTCAGTGTTGCTCAACAACCTCACCACAGGCGCCACCTACAATGTGCGTTTGAATTCATACACCAAAGCGGGCGAAGGGCCCTACGCGGAGCCAGTGAGTATTTGAGATAAAAGAAATACATATATCTAAGTACAAATAGAGAGCAAAAAAAAAGCGTACACAGGTTTGTTCCACGAGCTACTCAATGAAAAGAAAGAAAAATAAATAAACTATCAAATGACACTCCTTACATAATTTTCCGAGTAAATAGTTTGTGGAACCAACCTAACTTTAAAGTATATTTTTTGACACTATCTACTAAACATCTTATTTTAACTTAATTAAATTGCACTAAATTATGTATCCCCATTCTAGTTCACTCATTCATTGCTTCTTCTGAATTTTCCTAGGTCTCCTTGTTCATGGATCCCACACACCTAGTGCATCCACCACGCGCTCACCCCAGCGGCTCACATAGTGGCATCGCCGGTAGTCATGGCCATCCTGGTAGCCCGGGTGCCGATGGCAGTCACTATGCTTATCATCCAGCGGGCATGCCAGACGATGCGGCCACCACAACAACACATCATAAATCATCGAATGTAGTGCATCAGACTTGGTTTATGGTATTGGTAATAGTCTTTCTGCTAGCCATATTCTTCGTCACCGTCGGTGTGATGGTATTCTTTAAGCGGCGTCACAAGCTTACCAAGGAGCTGGGTCATTTGAGTGGTGAGTATAATATACAATGTTTAATTAAATTTAACCTCTTAAGACCAGCAGTGGAATTCTGACAATCGCTACACAAAATTTTCGTCGCCACTATTATCAAATTAAAAATGAGTGGGGTCTACAAGCTTACAACTTGAAAAATTTACATACGCAATGCGTAACGAGCAGAGATCGAAGATAATTATTAACCAATTCAAATGCTCGCATAATAACTCTTATCGAAGGAGAAATAAAGTATCAGTCGGAGATTAACCGCAACCTTTTTAATAGTTTTTTAGTTTATCTCAGAGAGAAACCTTTATCGATTCGAAATAAAAAGACGGTTATCTTTGTCGTTATTAGGATAACCGCTAACCCGGGTACTCGGAAAAAAATAACACTACATCCGGGTACCCGTGTAAAGATAATTTAATAAAGATAAGGTAACCACCGACCAGGGTACTCGGGAAAAATAACCCACTATCCGGGTCCCGACAAATATAACCCTCTATCCTGGTACCGGATAATGATAATACCAAATCCGGGTACCCAGATATAGATAACCTACTACTTGGGCAACCGGACAAATATAACCGGTTAATAAATTACCCGGATAAAGATAACCTTCTTCCTGGGTACCCGGATAAAGATACCACTATCCGGTTATACATATATTACCCTTTACCTCTGGTATATGGAGTATGCCCAAAATTACATGATGAACCAGACAGAATAGCTGACCAACTTGTCGCCATTTACAACGAAATTGAAAAATTCAATTATCGAGATATAATCTATTATGCTGGATTTCCACTAGGCAATAAATGGCAGAAATGACAAACGACAAAGTCGGGCATTAAAAAATAATCTTGTCATTACATTAAAAAAATTAAGTTCATTAAGTTCATTTCCACTTGGCATTTTTTTAAATGGCATAAGTTTTTTGTCATTTCAATGCCTAGTGGAAATTCGGCATTAGTCTTACTTTTCTACTCTATTTTTCTTCAATGCTGCAAATAACAAAATAAAACATAATTTTTAAAGTTTTCTATTGGTAGCTCCATTTATATGCGATAAATATTATTCCTCTCACTTAAAACTCGAAAACAAGCATCCATTATAAATTAATCTCATCTCTCTTGAAATAAAATATAAATCCCAGAGAAAGAGATTTATTTCTTGAAATTAAATGTAAATCTCAGTGGGCAAACAGAATAATGCGGGCATTTGTATATCTATCCGAGAGAAACTTTTATGTGACTGAGCAATATGATAAGTATCCGAGAAAATTCAATATGTGTTTTCGGTTAAGAGTTATTTCCTAGCCCTGGTAATCAGCCACATCTCGCGGTATGAGGAGCACTTAACTAGATGTGTCATGTTGTTAGGCGCGCCTGCTGTTCAATTTGGAGATTTTTGGCGATCAAAAAAAAACTATAACTAATGTTGGAATCCGCCTGCTGAACATGAGCTAATGAAGATGGAATACTACTTTTTAAGATAGTTTTCCCTTTGTGGGCATACTCAAAATTTTGTTTCGATTTTTTCTAATATTTTTGGAAGCTTAAGAGGCCACAGTGACCCAAAATTTTGGCAATTTGTTACACACAATTTGAAGAGGTTTAATGTCGCGGAAAGTTGGTAATCACTCAAAATTAAGTATTAAATGCGAAAATTTTAATTAGGCTTACAACAAAAATTGTACCATTTTTAACCATTATTTTCGTTATGCATACATAACTATGCGCCGTCTTTGTTAATTCCCCATAATAAATAATGGCTAAATGCTACCATAAAAAAAACCAAGTTTTCCTCCACAATGTTTTTCCTCATTAAATCGAAAAACCGCCACGCTCTTAATTATAAGAATCGTTTACGTGATACAATATGTATGAACGTATTCTCGGAGCACAGCAATTAATATCAATTTTTTATGCACTTGCATTTCTTGAAAATTAATTGCTGCCTCATCTTTACTTTACATCATTTGCATTCGCAATTGTGTTAAATTCCATACTCTTCTCTGCCTTCGTATTTAAAATATAAAAATAAGCAGAAAATAAAAATTAACGAATCACCAAAAATCTTTTTTTTTTGTTTGCACGACGTTCGCATTTCATCACCCAATTTTCTTTTATGCTTTCCTTCTTGCAATATTCTTCTGCGTTGTTGCTTCTTTTTCGCCTTTCATCATCCCATCTCTACTCGCAACGAAAACTGCAGTAGTCAGTGCCAACGAAATCACTGCGCTTAATATTAATGGCAAGGATAGCCTGTGGATTGACCGTGGCTGGCGTACCACCGACACCGACAAAGATTCCGGCTTGAGTGAGACGAAACTGCTGTCGAATGCGAACAGTCAATCCAACTACACTTCAGATGGCGGCACCGACTATGCGGAAGTGGATACGCGCAACATGAGCACCTTCTACAATTGTCGAAAGGTAAGTGTGAAAAGAATCACTGGCGCGGAAAGAAAAATCTTAAAAAAATATTTAAATTATGCTAAAAGCGAAAATATGTCGAGGAATTGTATTTTATTGTATTTTTCTTTTTATTTTTTTCGCCCCCGTTTTATGCGCCCCAGAGCCCCGAGAATCCAACACCATACGCCACAACAATGATTGTTGGCGCTTCTTCGACGGAGACCACCTGCATGAAGACATCCTCATCAAGCACCGATCAGGATTCCGGCACCCACTCGCCGAACTCAGATGGCAATACGCCACAATGTGTTGCTGGCGGTGTAGGCGTTGGCGTTACTGCGGCTGGTATGCCACCAGTAAACAGTGGCAAGCACAACTATCATCCTTATCCAGCAGGTTTGTGGAAATACGAGTGGTTGCTATTAAATTTTTTTTTTAATTTTATTAAATTTAATTTGTTACCCTAAATACACTTAGTAATTCGGATTATTTCATGCGTACATATATTGTGATGCTAAATCTTATCATTTCATGCTTCGTTGTTGCATGCCACTAACGAAATTTCATTACCTGCCTACCTTCTCTTAGTGATTTTTCGATTTGGTTTTCCTAGTTTCTTGCTATTGATTTTTAAGTATAACGGAATTTACTAAGTAATACACTAAGGTATATGGATGAAATAAGGGTCTCTTGTAGAGCCCAAAAGGCCACTAATTTTCTAACGTATGTACATATATATTTATATACCAAAAGACTCAGAAATATGATGTTTAGGCGCGACTGCTAACATCCAGCGCCTAAATGCATGCTTGGTACTGCTGCATGTACAAAATTGTCCTTCATTAAATTTATGAAATTTTTTACGCATGTACTTCTCAACTTTCTTAAGTTCTAATTTGATGGCAGTTCAAAGGATGTTCGGCCTAGTGTGCTGCATCCTCCGGACAATTGATTTTGACTAGAGATCATACCGAGTATACATACTTTTCCTATTTTGAGCAAGAAATTATTTTTTTTTTTTGCTTTTTAAGGTAAACAATCGGTAATTCCCTGTTTACTCCTTCATAAAGGGCAAAGTTGAGATTTCAATATTAATGAGGATAACCTAACCTAACCTAGCCCAGATGTTGGCCAGTCCAGGGATCGAAACCAGGTCCTACTAAGTGGTAGTACGCATCTTTAACCAATCATTCATAGACCTCAATATCAGCATACACACCAACCATTTCAAGCATTGATTCTTACCAGAGACCGTAACGGTTATAAGTTTTATTATAAAAATCACTTTTTAATCGTTATTAACTGAGTTTTATTTTTTGCTCGGAAAATAATCGTTACGTTTTAAGTTTTATTTTTTGCTCAGAAAAAAAATTGATTTTTTGCGTATGCGTATGCGCTTTTTTGCACTTTTTCTTTAGAAATGTGGTTCTCTTTGTTTCTGCCCTGGTATCTGTATTTTCATTACCCACTCCACAGTGGCGTTAAAGGTTCAATGCAGCCGCCCCCTGTCTATTCACGCATGCGCATACGCATACGCAAAAATTAAGTTTTATTTTCTGAGCAAAAAATAAAAGTCAAGAAATAACGATTATTTTCCGAGCAAAAAATAAAACTTAAAACCTAACGATTATTTTCCGAGCAAAAAATAAAACTTAAAACGTAACCATTATTTTCCGAGCAAAAAATAAAACTTAAAACGTAACGATTATTTTCCGAGCAAAAAATAAAAATTTAAACCTAACGATTATTTTCCGAGCAAAAAATAAAACTCAAAACATAACGATTATTTTCTGAGTAAAAAATAAAACTCAAAATATAATGATTAAACTTGATTTTTATAAGTAAAAATTAAAAAATAAAAATGAGTGCCGCTGAAGGTACTACGAGTAATAAGAAATATATTGGTTTACTCCTTATGCATGTAGCATTTCTCTTTCGCGTGATTTTTTGAGTTGAAATTTCAAAGGATAATAGTTATTTGCGGTCCCTGATTCTTACTTCTAGATGTGGGTTCGTAAAGCGTGGAACATAAGACGATGACCTTGATTAAAGAATGTGCTCTATTACGGCTGTTACATACTAAAGGGGTATTGGAGCAGTGTTGCCGTTGTGCGACTAAAGGGGCAATTTGACCCTTTTTAGGCGCCAATACCCTTTGACCCGAGTTTTTGAAAATTTTAATTTTTTTACCCTTTTTTAGATTTAATTGTGACTTTTGCCCCTTTTCAGAGATTTCTTTTAGGAAATATTAACAGAACCATGCTATTGAAAAATAGTCCCTCCTGTAAGTACGAAAAAATATATCACTTAAAACTTTTAAAGATTTATTCTTTTACTAGTAAAGAAAAGCAAAAATAATATGGTGACCCTTTGTTTCGTCAATTACCTCTTTCTTGCGACTTTCTGAAAATTCTCAACGGCAACACTGTATTGGACGAGATAAATATTTTCCTTGCAATGTACTTTCAGAAAGTTTTATTTATTTTGGTGATAGAAAAGTTTGCTACATTTTGCTAAACATCTCTGTTATGCATGCAATAAAGATATTCCTTAATTCCTTGTTTTTTTTTGTAATTTGATTCAAAGCAGCATTTTACTGCATTTAATTACTTGCGCTCTAAGTTCACAATTTTCTTAAATTAAATTTTTCCACCTTTATTTCGATTCGTACTTGATTCACATACATAGGTAGATATTAAACTCTCCTGATGAGCACATACATATGTATGTATGTTTGTAATTTAAACATATCAGTATGTTTGTAAATACAATAAAAAGCAAGAGATAAATCTGGCTATGCTTCTTGTTTGCCCTTGTTAAATCAAAAAAATATTCCATTTCGTGCCTTTCGTTGATATCCTTTTAGCAATAAGCGCATAGTTGCAGCAAATGTGTATGTACATATGTGCGCGTACGTTGTATGTGCTTTTTATCGGATTTAGCTAAAGATTTGCTATCAATTTTCGCTTCGTTCCATTTTTGACTACCAGAGCAATGCTTCTGCTTTCAAACTTTTTTTTTTTTTGTTCCCTTACTTGCATTTTTGTTTAGCTTTGCTTCTTACACAGACACATTCATAGACTGCCACTGGCTTTGTAAAAATGCTTTTGTTTTCGCACTCGATTAGATTTGCTTAAAGAGATTTCGACATTTTTTGGTTTTCATCTGATATCCTTGATATCCTTTATTTCGCCTATGTTGAACACTTTTTATTCTAACTTTACTTGCTTTTACATTCAATTGTTGGTACAAATGTAATATATACGTATGTATATATGTTTATCCCTATGTTGTCGTACAATTTTGCCCTGCAATACTCCTGCCAACCAGCCTGCTATTGCCACTGATTGCTATTGACAGCTGCTCGATTGGGGGACTGCCACGTTTTATTCATCTGATTGCATTGTAATTTCAACCCCTGCAGCTAGGATCTGAACTCTTACTGCTTTGTTATACGAACATTAATTTTTTTCTACTCCGCATTTCTGCTTCTACGTACATAGTTATTTTGCCTATCTGGCCGCCAGTATTATTTCTTTCGTGATTTGTTCAGTTTATCCTTCGCTAAGTTGGCAGTATTTGCAAAATTAAAAATTCAATTACTTGCGGCAAAACTTCTCTCGCCTCCTGCTTTTTTGCTCCTTTGATTTCATTCTGCATTTGGCCTTTGAAGTGTTTCCTGTTTCCAAGTGTTGGATAAGTAACTCGACGTTGCTAAACATGTGCGCGATGCGGTATGCTATGTGGCATGTGGGGGGAATAGGAAATAAATGCATACTTATACTGCCGCCAGCCGATGGCAGTTTTACGCTTTGCGGCAGCGTTAAAGCTGCTCTAGATTTGCAGCTGATAAATTGCGGTAATGCGGCATTAGTTATCTGCACTTCAGCGGCAAATTGTTTTTTCCTTCTGTAAAGTCGGCAGCGCTTAGCCTGCAGGCAGAAAAAGCTAATTTAAAGGAGTCATAGCATCCGGTTTACATAAATATTTTATTAATCTTGATTTGCATTTAATGATCGTGTATATGTAGATACTCGTATGTATGAGTGTATGCAGGTACAAAAAAAATTAGTCCCTTACCTTTTCGGGGGAATAAGTAATTAATTTTAGGTATTTAAAAATTTGTTCAAGGAAATAATGAGCATAATATGTATGTATATGTAAATATTTTTACTAATTCATCTGAAAAGCTTAAATACACTGTGCAACAAATTTAAAAACGTTGGGAGTGGTGGGCATCGGAGCAACAGCATTTGATTAAGCTGGTAAAATAATGAAGAAATGCCAAAGGATTTTAAAAAGTTGATTAACATCCCTTTTTTATCTCAATTTGTATTTTCGTGTTTTCAGCTGTAATTTCTTGAAAAAATAAAATAAAAATAAAAACACATTTTCCAAAGTTAAGGAAAGGAAGGGAAGGAGAACGGATGGCAGGAGTTTATTGTTTTTATTATCCAAATATATATGTACATACATATGTATGTAAATAGCTACACACACATACTGTTTGTCTCCTCTCACTTCCAACGCATGCACGTGTTTGCAAAATGATGACGAAGTGATTTTATATGGAAAATAATTTATGCCCATATATTTGAATAAAATAAACATCCGTATTTCGAAGATATCAACCAATACTTCCCATATACCGAACGAAAGGAAAAAACTTGAGTTTTTGATTAAAGAAAACAAAAACAAAATCATTGGAGTGGTTTTCGAGCATTTTGATAATAAAAAAATCTGCAAATTTGGTGCCTTAAAATGCTCAATATTTGTTGAATTTATGTAAAATTTGTACACGATAATATTTCTAGTACTCCAAAGAACATGCATATATCCCGAAAATGTAAGTTATATTTGCAAATCATAAGTTGCTGGATCACTTTAAAGGCTCAAAACAGACCCCAAAATAAGCCAGTATTTACCGTTGTTTCTACGACAGAAACCTAATTGGTTACTTAGAGGAATGCATTTGTTGATAGACTTGGGAACATAACTTTGAAACGCCATACTTTTCTTTGAAATCGCTTCACTAGTGCTCGTGCAGTAGGCGTTTTCGTGAAGCTCTAAAAATTACAACTACAACATTTAAGCTTAGCCTCCATATCGAAACGTAAGACGTGTTCTACGTCAAAATTGTAGTCACGTTTTAGTTCCTAAGCAGAAGATTTTCTGATAAGTAATTTTGTACCTCATAAATAAGTTGAACGATTTGCTGAGTTGGAAACTCTTTCCAAAGCTCTTAAAAAACTAGAAAAACGGTTATGTTTCGACAGTAACTGGCGCTCCTAGTTTAAAATAATATTTTGCTGCAATAACCTGGTCTTGGATTACTATTGATAACACCGTGCGACAAAAATGAAAAATAGATCGAAACACACGAAGTAATCAATATACTCACGAAACTGTGGGCCAAATATAGCTGAACTGCGTTTTTAGTTTTTCTCTCTGCCGTAAGAAAATTTTTAAAGGACTTTGTAGTCTCAAAGATATGATTAATTCAAAAATTCAGTTCAATATAGAATCAAAATATGGGTACCAAATGGAAAAGAAAACTCTGCAGAATTAAATTTTTTTTTTTTTGGTTAGCAATGATGAATAAGTATTGAAAATGCTCTTCTAATTAATTTTATTTTTTAAGTTAATAAAGAGGATGTGGTCGAGCTACATTAGTCCTTAATATATAATTTTTTTTTAAATAATTATCGCAACATTTCAAGGATATTGAAGGATAAAATTTTAAAAGGACATTTTCGAAAGATAATCGTCCTTATGCTTAACCGGCTTTAATTCTACAAAATGTTTTCTTTAATTTGATACCCATAACATTTTTCCACATTGCAATGAATTAAAAAAAGGAATTATTTTTTTGAAGAAATCATATTTTTCGAATTTCAAAGTCTTTAAAAAAAAATTCTGACGTCAGAGAGAAAAACTAGAAACGCAGTTCTTCTATATTTGGCTCACAGTTTTTCGAATGTATTGATTTTTTTTGCGTGTAAAATTTACTGTCGCACGGTGTAATCATTCAGTTTTTACGAAGATACAAAGATCAAAATGCATATAATTAATTTTGTTTGATTTTTTTTAATTAACAAAATTTATGTATGAATGCTTGCATATAAGCGAAGTATTAATTGCCATTTAAAATGTTCTCTACAATTTCATGTCCTCTCCAACTTCCGGCTCCTCACATATACTTTGCGCTGAAAAAAATCATTTGATGTTCTATGTCGTTATTGCTGTTGTCTTATTAACTTGCAAAAAAAATAAAAAATTAAATGACAGAGCAATTTAATTGGTCAGAATTCTTGCCACCACCACCGGAGCATCCACCACCGCTACCCAGCGGTTGCAGCGGCGGCGGCGGAGGCAACGGCGCAGTAGGCGTCATATATGCGCCTGGCTCACCACAGTCTTCGCGTAAAAGCTCCAAGAGCGGTGGTTCAGGTGTGTCCACACATCAAAGGTAAGTTTCAAACTACTTTGATTTTCTTAAACCTTGCAGGAAGCAGCCTTTTTGTTTAATTACTGCTAAACTATACGTTAATTTCATTTTAATTAAATAAGAATTGCATTTTACTTCTCCTCGCTCCTCCAGCGCTTTGAATTCATCCATACACAGCAGCTCCTCGGGCGGTTTCTCGACGTGGGGTGTGGCACCACAGTGCGTTGCCTCGCGGCCAACAGAGAATTACTACAACAACCCTTTGCCCTGCGTGGGCGGCGCACAGAATCGCTACCAAATTACACCGACCGGCCAACATCCTCCACCACTACCGCCATACTTTCCCCCCGGCGCCGCAGGCACCGCACAATTACCGCCACGCAACATACATATCCACTACCCGGCGCCCAGACACGCAATGAGCGAGTATCAGCCGTCGGGCACGCACAATTCCCGCTGTTCCAATGGCCGGTAAGTACCCGTACAACGGCGTAGGCCAATTACTTTGCTCTTCTGTTGTTGCAATGATGCAACCAAGTTACTGTGCGCACTGCAATTGTAATTTAATATTCGCTCTTCTCGTTTTGGTTACAGAGCCTGCAATAGCTGTGATGCGCTCGCTTCGCCACTCCAGCCACTGCCACCACCCGGTGACGGTTGGTACCAACCCCTGCAGGCGCATCTGCCACCCAATGCCGGTGGCGCCAACCCAATCTATCAATGTTCCTCCGAGTGTTCTGACCATTCGCGGCACTCACATTCGCACACGCATACGCACAACCATCCGCACGCACACCAACAGCACCATCAACATATGCACGCGCATCAGCATCACACGCATGCAGCAGCAGCGGCGGCAGCGGCCGCGCACGCGGGCAACGGCAATGACACCATGCGCTCAGAAAGCAGCCAAGACGGCGGCAAAGGCAACTACCGCTGTCAAAAGCAAACCGGTGCCGGTGGCGGGGGTAGCGGCAATAGTAATGGTGGTTATGCGGACATCAACGAGTGCGCAGAGCGTGAACACATGCTGAAAGGCAACGGCGGCGGCGGCGGCAATGGCAATACAAGCACGCTAGGCGGCAGCTCGTCCTGCGGCTATGAGGTGCTTGGCGATCATCGCAATTGCAGCGACTGCTGCAGCAGCTCACGCGAAGGCGACACCTGTTCGTGCAGCGAAGGCTCCTGTCTGTATGCGGAGGCGGGCGAACCAGGCATGCTGCCAAGCAGCGCGCATCTAGGCGTTGGCGGTGGTAGTGGCGTCGTAGCTGCAGGCAAGCTGGTGACGCAGCAAGGCAATTGATATGCGGCCGGCGTAAGTGATGTGGTCATGTACTTTTAGTGGTTGCCGACGGTGCAGCTGCCAATGTACGACACAATGTATGCCACAGGCGAAGGTGGCCGCGTCGGCGACAATTGTGGTAGCGGCAGCAGCAGCATCGATGCGGCGCTAATTTGTGAGTAGTCTAGGTACATAAGTTAAACTAGTTAAGCTCTATGCTTATTTGACTAAAGTAACTAGTGAAGTATGGTGGTATGTATAGTTAAGCTAAGTACGCGTTTTTAACAAGGCGCAAACACGAATGTACATACGCATGTAAGGATATGGTTGTGTAGACATATGTACATATGTATTTGTAAGGGCGGCGCATGTCCGCAAACATAGCGAGAAAAACGTGGGAAACTAAAATGAAAAAAAAAACACACAAATCGAACAAAGACCTCGAAGCAGTACTGGCTACTGACCGACCGACAAATTTGCATTTTTCTGCTTTCTGGTGGCATTAATTTTCCTTAGCATATACACAGGCGCATCACGCAATGGCAACTTGATTAAAGTTATTTCGTCATTTACTTGTGGCTGTTTAGTTTTATTCGAAAGTTTCTAACATAAATGTGTATGTACCACAATTTCGAATATCTTTCTTTGTATTCCTTATGAGGGCAGACATTTCGCGTAGACTGAACTAACCACCTTACATCACTAAGCATGGCGATCCACTTAAACTTCGATTTATTAAGTCTTCCTGTGATTTTAAGTAACTTCTTCGCGTCACTGGCGTAGCAGCACACGAGTGGAAAAGGACTCTCTTGCTTGCTTAACCAGAGCTTTTTTAGCATACCACGCGTCAGTTTAAAAAATGGCTACGCTTCAGCAGCGACTCCTTGCCACAATTCAACTTAAGTGGATAACAATTTTCGTTTTTCATTGAAATGCAAATAGGTGTTACACACTCACTCAAACAAAAGCATACAATGTGTACAAAGATACAAATATATCTGTAAGTAATTGCATTTAACCATTTCGACTTAGTCGATACTACTCAGACTAACGTATAAATGGTACCAGTGTACCGTTGTTCATTCTTCAAGTCACCCTAAACCAGTATTCCTTAAAAAAAAAAGCTCACATACACACATACATATGTAATGTTACGTGCATTCACAGAGGCTCTGCAAGGACTTCAGCATGTCTTAGGTCCTTTCAAGTAGATATGCAAAGCGAAATTTCGTCATTGGTTTAACACGCGATTTGCAACATGTATACTATAAATGACGTTCCCTACTTCTGAATTGCCTATTTTGTTGAAGAATCGCGTTTCTACATTCATTAGTTATTCCGCTTTGAATGGCAACAAGCGGTTTTGCTGCAAGCTATCACAATGCTGGCATAAATCTATGGCAATGGTCGCATAAAAGCGAAGTTTATGTGGCAATAAATTACTTAATCGGTTGATAAATGGTGGTTTGCCTACGATTGAAGGGCGATGGAGGAACTAATGATAGCTTAAATGCAGATTTAATAGTAGGCGAAACTTTTCTGAGTACTTATTTTGGCAGCTGAAAACCACTACTTCTTGAATTTTAAGGTTTAAATGTTATAATTTAAGTATTTATGAGTGTGACTGGGAAAAATACTCCGTATTTTATTTTAAAAATTCAAATAACATGTTATTGTAGAATTTGTTCATATTTACATATATAAATGTCGATGGTCCTCTGTAATAACGACACAATTCGAAATTCAAAAAATAAAAACTATTACTACTGTCTTGTCACTAATCCTTGTCCAATCCATTTTCATACCTTACTAAAGTGAGCAGCAAGGATTTCTAAAGTAAGTACTAAAGATTAGACATGGGCCGAGCAAAGATTCGTGACCTGATCCACTTAAAGTAGTAAGCGTTTTTATTTTTTAAATTTTGAATTGTGTCGTTATTACACAGGACCATCGATATGTTTGTATAAGTATATAGTCCGACTTGTGGCGTTCTTGGCTGTCTCACCTGCTATTGCATTACGCTCTATTTCCGTGTGGCCGGACACCCAATAGATATGTGGCCTTCTGTCGGCGGCTAGCCTGTCAATGGATGTTTATGGATGAAATGCTATATGTGGTAAATGCCTTAATTGCCGCCTGATTGTCTACGTTTAGGTTTACTTTTGAATTGATTGTACTTTCGGGGTAGGCTTCCTCTCTTCATTGCTAAAAGCTCTACTTGAAAAATGCTGCAATGGTAAGCGATAAGCGTACTGGCAAACGTTCAGTTCCCGGAAATAAATCCCGGCTACCACTCCCGTTACCATTTTAGATCCTTCCGTGAAAAGGTTTGGGAATCTGCGGCTACGTTTCATTCCTTTGCGCTATCCCTCCTCCTCCTCAATCACTGCGCGAAGCTTTCGTTCCCACATAAAGCTAGGTGCCATGTAGACCGTGCTGCCTGTGATTCCCGCCCCAATTGTGCTTTTGTGCTCAAAGGTTCTGAAATGGAATTCCCTTAAGGCCATCAATCTGCCTGCGAATTGAATAGCACGCTTTTCCGCAAATAGGTCAATGGGCGGTCAACTGAGAATTTTTTCAAGATCAGCCGTTGGAGTGGACCTCAGCGCTGCCGTGATGCACAGCCCTGCGATGCGCTTAACCTTCTCCATTGGCCCGAGGTATGAGCACTTTTTTGCTGCCTTCAACTACACCAAAGCGCCGTGGAGCAGTATTGGTCTGACACTCTAAAACGCTTTATAACTCGGAAAAATAAAAAATTATTCATCAAAATTTAATATGTATACTATACTTATCTTCGCACCTGGCAGTTAGGGAACGTACCCATACTTCGTGACCCACTTTTTGCAATTTTTAACCTCCCTCCCCCCCCCCGGTGACCTCGCGTAGAATATTCCAAGATCACCCTCCCCCTACAGTTTTCACGTAGTAATTCATAAATATGGTTTTGAATCATTTCTAGCTAAAAAA